GTTAGAGGTAAGTGCGTAGTATACTACGCACTTCCCTCTGTTGTTTTAATGGATGTTGCTGAAATCATTTAAAATTTTTATATATTGATGTTGGTGCATATAGAAAAGATGCAGACTCAACAATCTTTGAAAGGTCTTCTTTTGGAAACTGGTTCGTTGCATATCTCATCGCCAGCAAAAATTAATGAAGATTCGAACAGCCAGAAAAATGTTAATTTTATCGATTGTCCCGTGCTAGACGATTTGTAGAATGTACCTTTGGAATACTCACAAATAAGTGGAGAATATTGCATTAAGCAATGAACGTGAGTGTAAATAACTGTATTGTTATTGTTAAAGCAACTTGTGCGTTGCATAACTTTGTTCAAGACAGAGACGGTTTCTAATTTATGACAGCGATAACAGTAAGGACTTCTTGTTGCATAGAGGAAAAAACAAGCTTACAGTGTTAAACAAGATTTGACAGACTATTTTGTAAGTTATACGGTTTCAGTAGCCTGGCAAAATTCAAAAATTAAAAAATTACATGAACAGTAAAGTATCCGTTTATGATTAACAGAAGGCTATTCTGAATATTGTAAAACATTTTTAGGTGTACCTCAGGTAGGTATATTTATAATCGGGCGTTTTATGTGGTATATTTTCCAAACTGTTGTGTAAGATCCACAGTAAAATATTAGTAGGTAGTTGATAACTGAAAGAAAGCATATTTATTCCTAATAGGTTCCTTGCGGTTGTAAAATGCTCAGTGAAATCTGCATTCATTGCGGCTTGCAACCTGTACGTTCACTGTATATTTATTATGTATAAATGAATAAAATGTAAAATACGTTGATACTTAAGAATGTTCAATTTCTTTTTTCTCTCGTATTCTTTGAAAACTGAATGAAATATCAGACAGATTTCCATCCACAGATTCTTTTTTGATGTTCCTATATTTATAATTATTACGGAACCCCCCTTTTTATATATCACCTGGTTGGCCTGATTTCAATTGGTGACTGAGGAGACGATTCCCACACTTTCTGACCAATCTAAATACCCTCTCTACAGTTCGGGAGCGGTTATACTGGAGATGATGTTTGGGTAATTCGAAACGTCATGAGTGTGTAATAAAAGCTTGATTGACATGTTCAGAATCGAGCAGCAGTTCCTGAACAAGCGAGTTTATGGATAACTAGGTGTTAAATTACGAACCTACAGAAACACAGGTCGAGTACATTTTAACATTTTATTAAAAACTATAACTGAAGAACAACATAGACATTAATGGATGCTAAGCATCAATATCGCAATTCATTCTATTACATCAAACGTTACCAGATAGACCGGTACATTTAACATTGCTTAGGCGGAACAACCGTCATTCTGACAGGCAAGGTTGTACAAAAATGTGACTTACCAAAAAACTGCTGACGGCAACAGATCCCCGATGTTTCAGGGGCAACGGTAGACGCCTGACTGAGGAACTCTGGAGAAGCCGGACAGCTGGCACGAACGAGTGCGCCTCCACCGGCGAACAATTGAACTAGAGCGGTCATAATGACCGGTATTCCGGGTAGAGGGATAAAAAAGTAAGATGAAATCAAAAACAGAATGAAATACTACATGAAATAACATCGCACCTGTTTATAAAAAAAGTTAGATGGAAAATACGAAATAACCATCTACCAATTAAAAATCATATCAACTGACACCACAATTTTAGGTTATGATTTTCTTTAATTAAAATTCTGGACAATTTTGAGTGAAAATGAACTATGATGACTTTGTATTCAAACAAGTATTGTGGCTTCCACGATACTTGGATGGATACATGCACGAGGAAATTAGGTTTCATTTCTCCTAAATTGAATATCTCAAAAATTATCATTCATAAACATATTGTTATTGCTTTGCTCTGTCATTTGTGAAGGATAATCAAAATATCAATATACTTTTTTCAAATAAGACTTATTTGTATCCTATGTAAGGTTGGGCAATTTTAATTTTTCAAGTTGATGTCACTAGGAATTGTAATTTGTGAAAGCAACGTAAAATTTTCAAGTTCAAGTTTGTTTCATTTTCATGACACCCTTCAGATAATTTCTCAAACGTGTTCATATTATAAAGAATTTTTAACATAAACTAAAAAAATTTGTGACAATCATAAACATATTCCCTGTTGAGTAATTTCACAAATACATACTTGAGTGAGGAATGTTTATAAAATAGAAGATTTTCAGATTATTCGACGCCAAGTCACTTATTGTTGTTTTTTATTTCCAAATTAAATTTTTCAGCTAATGACATTGACGACGAGACATTCGTGCTGCTAACAGCGGATATTATAAAGGAATTAATCCCCAGTATGGGAACAAGGCTCAAATTAAAAAAAAATATGATGAATATTTATAGTCTTTGCATTTAACATTTTTAGGTTGAGCCCATTATAATTGACTACGTATCTGATATTTCTGAAGGAAAAGCATCAACTTCATCAACCGTGACATTCATTGGGGATTATTCCACAGAACACACATAATTCCCATTGTTCCAAAAAAAATGAAACTACAATCAGACTTCCGTCCAATTTTTGAAAATGTTAGTGATTAAAATTTTAATCTGTTGTTATCTCAGTCAATTAGTCGACTTGATGATATCTTCATCTTCCTTTTTATTTGTTGAAGAACTAAATTATTTCATTCTGAACTGTTTCAGGGTATCCTTCAACACTTACAGTCAACATTTGATGAAAAAATGATATTGAAAAATAAGGATTATCTAACTGAATAGTTTCGCAGCAAATTGTGTAAAATAGTAATTGATTACCTTTGTGTGAAATTCCAAACTGACAAGTTTGTCTACTATAGAAATATTCATTGCAAACTATTGATAAATAAAACGATTTAAGTAAACTATAAATATTTTATATATTCATCTCTTTTAGAATACTTCAATCACAATTCCAGAAGGCTGCTATAGAAATAGAAGAAGCCTTTCCGAAAGAGACATGTTCCATATATTTCAGACCTTATATAACTGAATCCAGAACACTCCCAAAAAACAGTGTGGTGAAAAGTTGTGGACTAAATACACAAATATGAGAAAAGTATACAACTATTTAGAGGCAGCTGAGAAGTCATTCATAGGTACATAGTTTAAGAATCATTTACTTTTGATTCATTTTGAAAGTGGAAAAACATTTGGATTTTGCTCAAAATCAAAATTCTCGTTCAGAAATAAGAGGCGAATTTTTAATAGAAACACGATAACGTTTTGAAAAAACCAATAGATGATTACATAGGATCAATCGGTGGACTCATCGGTGACTTTGAGAATTTGTCTATAGCAGAAAAGAGGCGTTATATTTGAACTCTTCCACTCATTTTTATCAAATGAACAATTCAAATATTCAGTGAGAAAAAAGCACAATACCAATTCCAAAACCTTTTTTGACATTTTACTGTTTAATTGATATATAAAGGGTGGAAAACTTACAAGAAAAAAAAGAAAAATTGAAATTTTGCAGATGAGTCTTAATATTTCATTCAGATTCAAAATGAAGAAAAACAATTATCTGAAAGAACTCATCATTCATATCTGAATGAAGTATTTATTAAAGGAGCTACAAAATCTTTCAAACAGTTTTATTCAAAGTTTCAAGTTTTTTCTTTCATTATTTGGAAATTTCCCATTGTATTTGTTGTTATATTTGTGTAATATTGAAAAAATTAAAAGTTAAAAAAGAATATTTCACCTCAAAAATTAATCTTTATTGACATACACTTTTTCTATTCATTTCATGTTTCAGATACAAATGAAAACAAATCAGTTAAATTTAATATGCAAGAAAATATTTCGCTGGATTACTAACAAAGTAGTTGTTCACTGGGATTTATCGTACAATCAAAGAAGGCAAATGTTGAAAGACATGGAATTATATGATTATATCGCACTATTTCCAGCTTTGAAGATGCCAGAAGGGTTTCACCTACTAGTGAAACATTTTGAAATCATGTATCCTTCCAGTAACAAATATTTTGATTTGAAGTGGCCCAGTATCAAGCAAGGTATTCAGATCTTGACATTGGAGAAACATCTATGGAAGGACGGTGAATGTTATAACGGTTGGTATATTCCATTATTCACAATATTACTATGAATTGTATACATTCATTTTAATTTTAGATGTGATTGCCTTGATGCTATTGCCCCTACTATTTCCACCTACTACTGTAAGAAGTGGCAAGAGATCATGGCGTCCTTCAAAATTGGAGGTGTCAAAAAGCTTCATATTGCAAGTAAATGTGAGTTTTTTTGTGTTTATTCATTAGAAAATTTATGTAACTCACCACTCAAGTCTGTATAGTTTTTGAGTTTTGATTGCGACAATAATCATAAGATATGAGGTGTCAGCATTTTGACTCTTTGAAAATTTACTAAAATCAAAATTTTTTCAAATATGAAAATGAAATTGTCTATTGATTCTTTAATTTCTTTCAGAATCCTTCTGATATACATCAGGTAGTTGAACCAACAGAAAATCTGCACAACAGAAAAAATCACATTGCAATCATTTACAATAGTCTGCGGGAATACAAAGAATTTGGAATCGATTCTGGTATATCGAGTGTCTTGTCGAGTGTCTTGATATAGATAAAGGAGTTTTTTAATCGGACATAGCACTCAAGGAAGTGGCAAACCATAGACACGTGTTTCGGGCTTTTGGCCATTGAAATACACTCTGCAAGTGATATTAATAGCAATTCTCTTGAAGTTTTTGCATTGGAACTCTTCGAGTTTGTACTCTGTGAGATTATTCACCTTGAAGTATTATTTTTATGTGAATCAGCATTCAAAAGTACTATAGTTATTATATTAAGTTTTTAAATACATAATGCTATCTTGTTATTTGTGTGAAAGCTGCTTTGAGTCTGTAAGAGATTTGGTTAAGCATTTGAAATTTGTTCATAGTCTCAATAATGGTAGTGAATTCAAATGTATGGAATTCAGTTGTGGAAGGTTTTCTATGTCATTGAATTCTTTTAAGAAACATCCCAATAGTCATATTTTGAGTAATGCAAAGAACACTGCATATTCCAGCAATATAATTCCTGAAATTTAATTATCAGAATCTAACAGTATTTCTTTGTATCCAGTTTGTTCAGAAAAAAATGTTGATGAATCAGAAGAAATTCTTTCTAATGGCGTTGATATTGAAATTAGTGAAATTGAACTATTCCAGGATCTAGTATCGAGCAGAGTTTGTATTCTAATATGTCAGCTGTATGGACAAATATCCATGCCCAGAAAAGAGGTTCAAAAAATCATCAAAAATTTTCAAGAATGCTTTTTGATTCCCTTACAGATGATTAAGAGTAATATTGTAAAAAGTGAATTCAGTTGTGAAAAAGACAAAGAAAAACTTTTGAAAATGTGTTCCAGCTTGGATAAAATGTTCTTGAACCTTAATTCAGAATATCACCGCTTCAATTATCTAGAAAGTACGGAGAAGTTCATTAAACCCCAAGAAAATATAATTGGACAACATTTGGTATTATCATCTAAAGGATTTTTGAAATCACAAATGTTGAAATATCAGTTCATATCTTTCAAACGTACTTTAAAGTGTTTCTTTGAAATGAAGAATGTACTGGCAGAATGTATAAATAACATCAAAATATAGTAATTGATGAGAAACAAATAATATCTAATTTATTTCAAGCAAATCTATGAAAATCAAAATATTCTAATTCTAAAAATTATATTTTTCCTTTATTCCTATATTTTGATGAATTTGAAGTTGGAAATCCTCTTGGAGCTCATGCAGGTATACATAAATTAGAAACAATATATTATACTATACCCATAGTACCATGGCTGCGATTTAACTCCAAAATTTCACTTTATGCTACATCTTCCTGAAATGCTTGATAAAGTTGGTTCTCCAGTTCATTTATGGTCGATGCGTTATGAAGCAAAACATTAAAGTCTTAAGGCAATTGTCAATGCAGTAGCATCCAGGGTTAATATTACAAAAACAATAGCGATCAAATACCAGCTAGATCTCTGTAATCAATTTATACAAAATCGTGGATTTGATGTTGAAATCAGTCATGGAAAATCGAAATTAATTGAGAAAGTGGAAAATCTTAACACGTTAAATACCAGGTGTACCAAAAATGGTACACATCTTGCCTTTAGTAATAAACTGTGTGCCCGTATATGGTCACAAGCAATAGCTATTTTCAATCAGTTGTGTGCAATTCGTACACAACTTCTATTGAAATAAATGCATATTTCATATACTAAAGTTCATGACAAAAGATTGGCAATATAGTTCAACTATCGGTTTGTAGATGGTAGTACCATTCAACTCTTCCGACCACCTCTGCTCAATCATCATAACTACGTTTTGTTTTACATCTTATGATCAGTCTTACCACTACTATTGTAATAATCGGTCACGTCTCTGAAGGCAAAATGGTAAATAAAGCATTAACCGATAAAGAGCTGGAAGATATTGTGGAAAATATGAGCGATATCGAATACGATTCGGATAGCGACGACTCTGTAGCTGTCCAAACTGTAGCAAACTATGATAATTCCGGTTTATCGGAAAGTACGGATAGTGAATTTGAAACTGGCATAGTTGCAAAAAGACGAAAACTAAACGACTGTGCCCAGGCAAATTCAAATATAGGGACTGTAAACGTCACTTCGGATAGCGAAGTAAATTTATCCGAAAACGGCGAAGGTAGTTCACATGAGAGCGATGACAACACAAAACTAGCTGGAGGGGAATCACATGAAGTTCGAGTAATCTGGAATGATTGTTCAGGTAATATAAAATGAAACAAGCTAATCTTAGGATTCTATAAAGTATTTTTCTTTAGGAAATTTAAAGGACTTTACATTCAGTGACAACTCAGGATTCTCTGCAGCGTTTTTTGCTAAAAGGAGTGGAGATGAACCTTTAAATTTTTATAAGCTTTTTTTGGCTGATGTTTTACCCATATTGGTTCAAGAAACGAACCGATATGCGGAACAAAAAATGACATAACAAATGAAACTATTCAAAAACATTCATTGATAACTAAATGGCAAGATACCAATGAGTCAGAAATGTTGGCATTTATTGGAATGCTAATCTGGATGGGATTGAACAAGAAGCCTACGTTGAAAGACTATTTTTCACGAAATACATTGTATAAAATAAAGTAGGAGTATACATTGGCATGTTCAGAACACGATTTGAAGTACTTTTATCCAATTTGCATATCTCAGATAACGAAACGACGGATCCTACCAATCGGTTATGCAAGAATCAAGCATTAGTAGATGATCTGATTGCTAACTTTCAAGCAGCATGTACTCCCAATAAGGAAGTGTGTATTGATGAGACAATGATTCCTTTTAGAGGTCGGCTTAGTTTCCTACAATATATTCCGGGTAAGAGACATAAATACTGGGTGAAACTTTTCAAACTGTGTTTGGAAAAAGGTTATACGTACAACTTGAAAATATATACTGGTAAGGAGAACAACTCAGACGTACAGCCAGTTGCCAGTCGCGTAGTTCTCGAACTCATGGAACCTCTCTTAGATCAAGGACGTCTTCTATGTACGGACAACTTTTATACTAGCGTTAGCCTCGCACATGATCTTCTGGATAGGAAGACTCACCTTCTTGGAACTCTGAGAAAAAATAGAAAGTTCAGCCCTAAACCAGTTACGGATGCAAAACTTGGAAAAGGCGCAATGATGGCACTTGAAAGTATAACCACGTAATAGTTGGAAAATGGAAAGACAAAAGAAACTTCTTATTTTTGACAACTGAAGAAGTTCCAGAAATGACAGAAGTGCAAACCAAAAAAGGTGTTGAAAAAAAGCTATCTACAATTGTGAAGTATAACAGTATCAAGTCATTTATAGACGTTTCAGACCAAAAAGCTTCCTACTTGGCTACTGTACGACGCGGAATAAAATGGTACAGGAAGGTTGCCATAGAACTACTAACAAACACAGCAGTGGTGAATGCTCCTATAGTATATCAATCTTTTTTTAATAAAAGTATCAACATAACGAAGTTCAGGGAGGAGATTACAAACAAAATTAAAAAACTAATAAATAGAGTTTATTCTATGATTTTCACTATAAGGGTTTTACAAGAACCGCGACACGTGTTTCGCTATACAATAGCTTCTTCAAGCATTATTTACAGTATGTCTATGATAGACATACTCTGCCGTCCTAAGGCTAGTTGTCCTATGGGGCTATTATACATTCTGAGTTATTCAATTTTTAATGCTTAGGCATATATTTCTGTTGTTTTTCTATTTCTCCTTCATGAAACAGGGGCAAAATGTTATTAGTAATAAATTAAATTATATTCTTAACAGTTCATTGATTTTAAAGGAGTACTTCGATTGCAATGGTAGATAGGACAATATCACCAAGTGAAACACAACTTAACTCAGTCCATATCTATGGTCCTATCCGATATAATTAGAAACAAGTATAAACACAAAAAATACAGGAAATATAAAATAACACCAACAAGAATTATTATTTTTCAACCATATGTTACTCGTCATTTGAATCTGTAATAATATTGTCATTGAATGATAAACTCTCCCAAAAGTTCATTCTATTTTGAGGTATATGAGACTTTAAAACTGTAATCAAATTGCGCCCTCTTTCAGAAGTAATTCCGCGATATTGTGTCTTTACTACAGGATCAGTAAACGACCGTTTAATATATTTTTGACTCCAAATGCTGGCAATGTCTTGAAAGGTGTCTGAGAAATTAATTTTGTACTGAAAATGTTTTTGGTCTCTTTTGAATGAAAGCCCAACAATATCTTTAAGGTAAACGCGAGGAGCTAGTTTCTGTAATTTATATTTAGATGTATAATCCGTGAATGTAAAGAAGTTATCAAGATTCATTTTGATGACATTGACTCGACCAGAATTGGAACTTTGAACCACATTTCCATCTTCAAAATCGTACACCTTCTTCTTACGTTTCAATGCTAATTCAACTTGATGATGGAATGCGTCGGCAGACATAAAAGTATGACCTGGTTCAAAATATTTTACTTCAATATTTTCAACAGCTACTTGGCACGAATTGACTATATACATGAAAAAACTAAGCAGAGTCCAATTCTTATTTTGCGATGAACAATTGTCCAGCCAAATTACATTTTTTTTGTCTCTGTTTGCTAAAAAAATGCGTAGTAAGCAGACACAATATCGTCTTTGGTGCGACCGCTTATTGCTTCATGCCAAATTATTGCGTACGAATATAATTTTTTCTCCTTCCCTAGAGAAACGAAACTTTCGTTGAATGCGATGATCCTCGGAGTGAAAATAATTTTTTTAAACATATCGATGCGTGGGAGCATGATGACCTGAAAAAATATTACATACTTATAATTTGTGCCAAGCAGCCGTCAGTTATGTTAAACCTTTTGTAAATCCGCAGATACAATAAGATGTTCATCACCAATAATGCTTTCAGCGTCCTTTTGGTACTCTTGTCGTGCAGACATCGACTTCAAGTTATGTTTCTTCCACGTTGCGCAGTTTTCGCAGTTTTTGTTTTCTTCAACACTGTGGTGGGTCGAATCTCTATGTATATTGAATGCCTCGCATTCC